GCAAGCCTCTGTCTCTTCCACTTTTCATTGAGTGGGTTTGCAGAAGGAATGGACGATTATTGATGGTTCCTAGCCCTTGGTTTCACCTTGGTGGGGTAGTTTTCTAGAACTCAGTCAAAGCTGTGCTTTCTTTTCTTCTCGTTTTCCTTTCCTTTCTTTCTACTTTCTGTAAGTGGTGTGTGTGTGGTTTATTGTCATGTGCAGAAGTGCCATTGCAAATACAGAGTTAGAAGACAACTTTCAGCAGCCAGGTCTCTCCTTCCACTATGAGATCCAGGTTGTCAGGTTGCCCTTCTTAACACCTTTACCTTCTCAACCATCTCATAGGTCCAGAGGTCTATCTCTGACCCTACGGTTTGAGGACATGAGGAAGTCATCGGCCATGAGTGAAGGCCATGTCACTTGTCTGAATACTTTTTAGAATTATCTCTAAATGACTCTGGTCTTTATACTTGTAGCACTATTCACTCATGTTAAGTGTGAGGTCCAATTATTAAGAACAAGAATGATATATTGATCATGAGTACCAAGTGCTCATCACAGAACACCCAGAGCTATACTCAAAACAACCCACTCTTATACACCAAGGACTCACCAGTAGAGTTTTGATCTTCACTCTACTTTATGAGATCTGTGTGCTCCCACACACACTGTCATCCAATAAATAGTCTGTGTGAATTGGTGCATTCTGCAGAGTGATCCCTTATTTGTCTTGTAGCCTACCTGACTGCCTTCTTTTCTTCCCCCTCCATTCCTTGCTTCCTTCCTTTCTTTAGTCATGTGTATCTGCTTATTGACAGGGTCTCTCTATTATGTAGGTCTGGTGGTGCTTAAACTTATCATATAAACCAGGCTGGCCTCAGACTCACAGGGCTCTATCTGCCTCTGCCTCTGCCTCTGCCTCTGCCTCTGCTCTGCCTCTGCCTCCTGAGTGCAGTGATTAGAGGTGTGCATCACTTTGCAGGGATTGACTTCTTCTTTGTGTATGCTTTGTGTATGTCTTATTTTTTCTTTCTGTGACACATACTCTGGGTAATTTGGCACAGCCTACTTGTAGGGAGAACTCCTTACCTGGTACGCTGCTGTGCCCATGAACACTTGTTGCCATAAGAGTATAGTTTAAAGCTGTTCACAAGGCTAGGCATCCATCTGGCAAGGACCAGGAGGCCAGACTTCATTTCCCTTCCTTCTCCTTTTTCTTCTTTCTTCACTCTTTAAACCCTACACTGGAAAGCTTTAAACCCTACATCTCAACCCACTCTTCATGAATACACTTGTATTTCCTTGCTCTGCACCTACACCCAGGGCAGCTATGCCTGAAGATTTCTATGGATATGATTTATGCCAATGCCTACAGGAAAAGAGCTAAAATTTCTGTGAAGATCAGACTTGCTCTTAGAATTGAGAGAACATGAATCATTATTGTAGGGTGAGCAAGGGTTCTTTTAAGGATGACCGAAAGAATGACCATTGTGGGGAGATCTTTGCTCAGGCAGAAAGGACTTAATGGCCCTCAGACCCTTGCTGACCTAAGCAGGCTATCTGAGCATAGAATAGTAGCATCACAAATTGTTCCTTCCAATGTCTGCCAAGAGAGAAGTCAGCAACTGCTGCTGTGCCATGAGATGGGGTAACCTGAACCAGCCTGCAGCCACCACCATAAACTGAGCTTTCTGTCTACGAGGTCCTGCAATGCTTTAGTCCTAAATAAGTACCCAGAGGCTGCTAGTAATTATCAACTGGAAGCTCTTATTTCCAGGAATGATCCTATCTGTCCCATGGGTGACCGACGAAATGTCAGGAAAAACACCAAGAGAATCACCAATATTACGAGAGAGAGGAGAGTGTGCAGGCTTTGCGGTCCCGGCAGTATTCTGTGGTGTCCCAAAGTCCACTGCTCTTTGCTGAGTGAGATGTCCCCGGGTGCTTTTGCCTCATCTGCAGAAGCACAGGACAAGAACTCATAGCCTGGATCAAAACTAGGCTGCAGGCTCACAACAACCCAGGACTGCCGACTCTGAGAAAAACAAACGAGACTGGGATGGACATCCTCATCAGGTAAGAACCCAAAAAAGCGAGGCAGGCAAAGCTGGCCTGGGTGTGATCACTCTATGCACATTATATCTGAAGCATTTATGGGGAAATCAGGGGGCACTGGTCTTCAAGAAAAGGTAGAGTAGTCTCCAGAACAATAGGCAGACTAGGAATTTAGAGTGGGAATGTACAACTTCATAATGAATGGTGAATGAAAGAAAGTACCAGATGCTGGAGTGGTGCCTAGCCCTTTGACCACAGGTTCTGATGGGTTTCCCTTGATGTCATTTTACCTGTTACTTTCCCTGTCAGAGGCAGTGGCAAAGCCTGAGGATATACTTTATGTTTGAGGTAAGGCTGGCCAGGCAGACACTGATCCAGGGAGGGTCTCTGCTTGAGGGAGGGCCCTCACCATCCCACCCTATGCAGCACACAGGGCTAGACACTCGTAGCCACCTCAGCTCCTGGACAGGGACTCATCTCATCAAGGGGTCTGCACTGTTGCAATGTGAGACCCACAATGTACTACAAACTACGCTTCACATCTTTCAAAGAGGACTCACTGCTGACCATGGAATAAAGATGAAGTCCTCCAAAGTAAAGACTCTGTGAAACTGATTGGCCTTGTGTTGATGTTAGCTGCCTAACATCTGAAAGAACTCGAGATTTACTGGATGAACAGTCAGAGGGATCTGTATGGGACCACATGACGACTCAGACCACATCCCACTTACTGACTCACAGGGTTTCTTGGCTTCAATCCTCTGGGGTGGCTTCCCTATCAGGTAACAGAAACTTCCCAACTTCTGAACACATGGGCTGCAAAGAAGCTTAAGCCTGGACACCAAGCAAGAACTCACTGTTAGCTCCCTCAGAGGAAGAAATTTTGGTCCAGATGCACCTACCAGCTCAAAGCTGCCAGCTCCACACCTCTCCATGTCAGTCAGAACACCATGGGACCCTCTCCCTCCTGTAGTGTTGACACTGTTGCAATGCTCAGCAACTGTGGCAAGCCAACCAGCTCTGCCAGAGGTACCAGTTACACAAGGATACACACCAGACTAGTCAGGAAGTTTCCTGCAAAAGCCTTTTCCACTGTACAGCTGCAGAAACTTCTAGGCCTGCCTCTCATTCAAGGGGACGACACCTATGTTCCCAGTTCCTAAAACAGGCACCGGAAGAGAAGGGGCATCGCCTTCATGATGGTGAGGAAGTTATGAAGGCATTGTCTATACAAGCCCCAGACTTTAAGGATACAAAATTAATCAGTTCTTTTACTGATGGGGCTTAAGGCTACAAGAAGGGTAATTGTCCCTCAAATCAAAAGATTCAGAGTTACAATATATCACAACAGGGAGATCTGCACGATAGCTCTGGCTCTGAGGCCCACATGTGGTGGCATTGCCTGACACTCTTATCCCATCTCTTCTGGATCCTACACATCTACCCCCTAAACTCCCTTCCCACTCCCATTACTATATCCCAGCCCCCAACTCCAGGAGGTACTCCTTCTACTCAAGACCCTATGGTCAAGTGTACAGTTAGGACTGTGAAAGCAAAGGATTATCTTGTGTACACAATTCTCTTCAGCCTCATACAGATTCTGTAGAAGAATAATAACTGTAGTCTCCCTGTGATCCTCTATGATGCCATTACTAACCAATGACAAATATCTTCTCCACCACATTTAGAGACTCATTCAGGCAAGATGCAAAATTGAGCAGGCCCCTGCTCTGGGGGTGGCTGAGGCCATGCCGGACAAGTAGGAGGTAAAACCTGGTTACCAAGTGATGATTGACACTTCTTCTCTCCTGGGAACCCAATAAAGGGTACAAATAGCTTTTGTCTGTTGTTGACTCTGTGTGACCATGGCAATGGGGGAGAAAGTCATTCCACGGTTCCAGGGCAAGGATGACCTTACCCACTGGGTCTTGGAACATCACTGATCAATGTTCTGCTGTAAGTACTTGGCACAGAATCCCTGAAGAACACAAGTATTCATGTTTCCTTCAAATCAGGGCAAAGAACACCTTCCCCTCGCCTGCCACAGGGAGTCAGGGATCCCCTGCATGTGCATGGCTGGGGATGGAGACTTGGGAGGTCCTGTGCTGACACTGAAGCTGCTGCTGTCTGGGAGAGACAAAGTAGAAAACTCTTCCCATTGCATGGGAATGAAGGGCTGCCTGGCTGGCATCCCGCACACCAAAGCTCTCAGTGGAAACCTAATGCCATCAGGCAATGGAGTTAGTTTGGCTATGCTCTGGAACTGAGTTGCCCCTCAGAGTCTTGCATGGTATGGATGCCCGGGATGCTCATCCATGCATTTTGGAGGGGGATATTTTAGCTGTGTCAGGAGGAATTGATGGGTGTGCCAGGCCTCTGAAGCAGAATTCAAAGTGTTTCTAGGGGCCTTGCTGTCTGGTCTCCCATCTTGTGGGTCCCCCTGATAGGTACCAGATGCTTTCCTGTAGCTTCCAAAGGCAGGGTTCTTACAGTGTAGGATGTAGTCATGCAAGGGGGAAAAGCCTTTACCTCATCCACAAGACAAGATTAGCTCACTGGAAGGACCCTGTGTGATCAGGCTCATCCATGGTTCCTTGGGGTAGGCTCTCCCACCCCCTGCATGGCCTCAGGGATCTGGCATCCTGCTCTATGCTGACTGAAACCCCAGATTTGTTCACCTGAATAAGAAAAAAGGTCTGCTACCATCCCACTGCTGACTGAGTGGAGTCACCGACTGACATGTCTCAGAGGTGAGGCCTCTGGGGAGCTTCCGGTCCTCCGTGTTCTATAGTACCCAGCACAGTCCTCTTTCTGGTTTCCAGGATTGGAAAGGGGCCATTTCTACAGGGCATTTGACCCAGAGGCAAAGATATCAAGATGGGGTTTGCCAGTGTCAAAACCCCTGAAATCTGACAATATCCTTGTGGGATGCCATAGCTACCCATACCTCAGCATGGGCAAACATGCTAAAAGACCTCAACCTGAAGGTCTCTGATTGGCCAAAGCCGTCACCCAGGTCACAGGTAAGCCAGCAACTCCTCATTTCTGATGCAGAAAGAAGGTTTTCAAGGACCTTGAGTGCAAACCTGACAGCCACGAGAGATAATAAGAGACCAATCGATTATCACTCTGGAACAGAAGCATCTCCAGCACTCTTGTCCTCTTTCTCATTTATAGGGTGTCTTGGGGAATGCTGACCATGGGAAAAAGTATGACCATTCCCAAGTGTATCTAGGAACAGAAATTGGGAAATCCACCCCATGGCCACACTTCCAGAAGGTAGCATCCCCTTAGGCCTAAGTTCATATGCTGTCCACACTTAGATGCTTGCCTGGGTGACCTGTCTTCTCCCACCAGGGTAGAGCAGTGGAAGGGACAGAGAGGTTCCTGGGGGCTCTTGGGTTCCATGGGTCTTTTCACACCTGAATTTTACATGACATGTATGTGGGACAGCTTCTGGATCTAGGGTTTTAGGCTCCTCTACTCATCCCTTGACTTCTGCCTCAAGAACCCTAGATAAATTCCAAGGACATTAGCACTTCCAGTGGGGAAACACATTTAAAGTTCTGAATAGAGACAGTTAGCAAGAGATCAGCACTAATGATTTCATCCCTCACACAACTCCTAAGTACTTACTCACGGGTCAGCACAGCCCTTCTGCCCATAAAACACACACACACACACACACACACACACACACACACACACACACACACACACGGCCCAGGGAATATAAACATGGGATACAAACATTATTTACAACCATTCAGAACAAGTAAATATAGACATGCACAAACACACAGATAAATTGACTAATCACCCATACATTATTGCCACATCAGCCCCAGTGGAGACAGTGTAGCAATGGCTGAGAGAAATCTCAATGGCTACCTGTCCAGAGGTTCTCACCACAAGTGGTTATGTCTCCTGGGGAAAAGTGGTTCAGGACCCTGCAGGTGATTGCCCGACTGACAGTCTGGAACAGGTGCTAGGTGATTGTTGTGCTATGATAATTTTAACGCTTTTGATCATGGGTGCTTTGGCCTATAGCTCCACTGTTAATTCAGAGAAGCCCAGGAAACACTTAGATATAGTTACAGGGACAGAAAGAGATACAGACAAGCCCTCAGCTACAAATCCCAGGGTGCCAGTGGAGACTTCAGGTGTCAGCCCAAGGCCTAATAAATTAACATACCTAAAGCTATAGGAATTTGCCCAGAAGATGACCCTGCTTAATTAGCCCGCCTGAAGCAAAGCTGTTGTGGGGATTTACTACTAAGATTTTAGGGCCCCTAAATCAATAAAACAGCACAAGAGTTCTTATCAATGCTGTTAAAAGTTTACTGACCAGAGACAATGATTATTCTCTAAACTCAGTAAATCAAATCCCTGGTAAGCTGACCACAAGCAGGCCAAAATAAACATGAGATGTATTTACGATCTCATGCTCCAAAATAATTGCTGACATTTCTATAGTATGTCTGTAAGTTTTAAACTGTGGCCAAAGATCTGTTCCTTGAACTTTCTGCATAAAAACCTGATGCTCTGAAATAAAAATGGCAGCAGTTGCAAACCTCCTCCAGTGTGTTTGTGTCTGTCTGTCAAGCCGAAGCCACTCCTGACCTGTTCATCGGAGTCTTGGTCTCCCCGGAGACCCATCGCCCACTGAAAGGTCTGCGGCACATTATCTCTCTCTCTCTCTCTGCCTTACACACACACACACACACACACACACACACACACACAAACACACACAAAGGGCCCAGAGAATAGGAACATGGTATGTCCAACATTATATACAATCATTCAGAAACAAGTAACATTCAGAAACAAGTAAATATATACACATGCACAAACACACAGAGAAACTGACAAATCACACATAAATGATCTCTCTCTCCCTCTCTCCTCCTCTCTCTCTCTTCCACAATAACACACACACACACACATACACACACACACACACACATACACACTACTCCCACAAACCAACTCATGGGCACTAGACCTCAAATCACATATTTTAAAAAGACCACTTAAAGAACTTTACCTCCAGTTCCCATAAAAACCAGACCAGCAACACATCCACCATTGCTGTATGTCCTGTTACTGGCCTCCTTCTGCTTTTCCCAATCTCTCTTAACTCCCATATGTGGTAGATCTAATCCAAAATGACCACACACTAATGTCTGTAGAAAAGACCTCCCAGGAAAAATCAGTACCTCCAGAGGATGAGATGGCCAATGGACAGGTGTGTTTATTTAAAAGGACTGTTAGAAAGCTGCATGCATGTAAGGACACAGCAGGAAAAACAAAACAGTTTTATGCTAAGCACCACAGGGAGTTTGTCAGCAAGATCACCTGGAACAGGCTCTGCTGAGGAGTCTTCATAGTCCAGTCTGGCCATTCCCAGCAGGGTTCCCACCAAGAGAGTCCAGGGAAGGCTGCATGCCAAAGGTGGACAGCCCAGGTGATATATGAGGATCCTGGGTGACTGTGTCAGGAATGAGTGATAGCAGAGGGTCCTGTGTGCCTGTCACAGATTGATGAGTGGTAGGAGCTAGAGTTGTGGGCTACTAGTGCCCTGGAATCTGTAACACACACACACACACACACACACACACACACACACACACACACACACACACGGTCCCAAACCCAGCTGGCATGCTCACGGTTCAGACCCGGGCAGATGTACATCTAGAAAAGACCACACTTTGAAAAAGCCTGAGCCCCTTGCAAAACACTCCTAGAGCAGAGATCAACCCCTGGGTAGTAGAGAGGATTGTGCCTGTCGGTAACTTTCTCACACCAAGGGAGCCCCAAGACCAGGTGGGAGAGGGCAGTTAGTGGATAGCAGAGCAGACCTCCTCTGACCTGGCTGTGTAGATTGGGCCTTTCCTCCAAGGGCAGGAGTGGGAGCTGCTACAGCCTTGGGGTCCTTGGTGAGGAGACAGCTCTGCTCCCCGTGGAGACAGGGAGACAAGATGAAGGGTCCCTGGGGAAAACGCCTGGCTGCTGATGTTGGATTTTCAGGAAGTTCCGGAGGTGGTGACATAAGAGCAGGACAAGCTGCCACAAGAAGAGGTTAAGATCAGACAGGAAGTCCAGAAAACCCGTGGGCAGAGCCTGCAAGGGGCTTAGGGAAGCTGCACTCTGCATTGGAGGAGTTGCAGCTGCTGCAGCACCTCATGTGCTCTATCAATGATCAAGCTAGCAGGACCTATGAGCTCCTAGGAGGGATGTGGCTGAGAGGCTCAGATCCCACCTGAAAACACAGTCTGGTTGTCATCCAAGGCATCCCTGGCTTCTGGGACACAGCAGTATCCTTACCAGGGTGACTGTCTATGAGGGGGACACTGGAGACTCTCCCTGAAAAGCAGTAAAGAGGGTCCATGTTGCCATAGGAATAGGGGCAGTAACTAGTCCAAATGGTGAAGGTCTTTGCACAATTCCCTGGCCTTGGCTTCAGAGAGAGGGAGAGAGACACACACACACACACACACACACAGAGAGAGAGAGAGATAGAGAGAGAGAGAGAGAGAGATTCTTCTCTCTGTATATGAAAATGTTTATAGCTATAATACTTATTTAGCTATTTGGGAGGGTGTGTTAGTCACTGTGTGCTCTCTTCTAATTTTTTGTACGACAGTACTTGAGTTTGTGTGTGTGTCTGTAAAGATTGTGAATCTTTGCATGGAGACTGTGTTTGTGTCTCACTCTGTGTGTGTGAGTGAGTGTGTGAGTGTGTGTGTGTGTGTGTGCGTGTGATTGTGTGTGTGAGAGTGTGTTTGTGTGATTGTGTTGTGAATGATGTCTTTGAGAGCTTTAGCACTTTTACTGATTCCCTGAGAAACCATCCATGTCCAGGAGTGTGAGCTAAAAAGAAAAAGAAAAAGAAAGATAACACTTATTGGTATCACCTTAGTGTAGGGATATGGGTCATTGTCTTCCAATTATGAACCTCACTCAGTTTGAGTTTACTATGGGCCACCATTTTCACCATGGCAGAGACCATGTCAAGTCAGGCTGTGCAGGGTAGGCTAACTGTGGATTCTCACGCTCTGTGACTTAGGTCCATTCTGAAGGTGGACTGAAACCAATTCCTGTTGTCCTCCAATGAAGCCAGTTCACTTTCCTTTTGGGTTTTAACTCTGCTGGCTGGGCAAGGGTCCTCTGCCTTCTGCTCAGGGGTGAATACTCAAGTAAATGCCTGTGACCTATGTCTATGTCACCAAAGCACTTTCCCCTGTCCTTCCTCACTGGGTCATGTTTGCCCCATAAAAGGACCCGAAAACCCTCTCCAGAAAGAGGGGGCCATGAGTAGCACCTGTGGCTTCCCTGGGCCAGAGGAGAGGCTCTTGTGCCTGGATAGGTTCTGCTCACCATTTCCCAGTGTTTAGGACTCCTCGACCAAAGGCAGATGGTGAACCACCCCAAGATCTCAGGCTTCCTCTGGGAGCAAGATGAAGACCCGCAGGGCTCCTTGTTGAACTTGCAGGTCATCAGCCGGGATGTGGCCCGGGCAGTGGGCATGGTACTGTTAGGGCTCTTGTCCTGCTGGGGCAGCTTTACATCCCAGCTAGGAGGATCCTCTGTGCAGGGTGTGCTACACAACAATGTCCTCTGCTTTCTGCCCTGCTCTGACAGGTGGGGGAAGTGTGCCCAGCAAAGTAGTACCTCTCAGGATGACCTTTGTCTCTGCCATCAAGCCTTACTTCTGTAATAGACTGATTTGAAAGGAGTACAGGATCAAGCTGTCTGGTAAGAGGTCTGTCCCTGACAGGGAGTCACACTGAGGACTTGGGGCTGTTTGCTAGGGTGGAAGGGGGATCTACATGCTGGAACACAGGCTGTGTGCCTCCCACCCGCAGGGTATGAGGAATCAGTATAGAGCACTGTGGAGTGGTATGCAGACTGTGGCCCTGTCACTCTCAGCTGCTGGCAGGAACCCCAGGGGAGGCTCATGATCGTGGACTGGTTGTGTGCCCACTGCTGCCCAGCAGACAACATGCTAGCTGAGGTGGAGCTCCTCTGGATACCTTGCTCCTGAATGGAGCTGCCTGAGTGCTCAAAGCTCCTGATGCTGGAGAAGGACACTTAGCACACATGCCAGAGTCACTTTCCTCTCCTCTTTCCAGGACATTGCAGAAGACCTGTGGCTGGATCCCAGGAAGTAATTCCCTGGGACAGGACAGGGCTGGAATGACAGTCTGAGGGATTACAGGCAAGGTCTCTTCCATGGCAGAGCCACCCCTGGGCTGGTGTTCCTTTGTTCTGTGGGAAGGCAGGCTGAGGAAGACACAGGGACCAAGCCATTAGGCAGCACTCCCCCCATGGCCTCTGCAATAGTTCCTGACATCAGGTTCTCACCCTGTTTCCGTTCCCGTCTTTACTTCCATCAGTGATGAACAATGACATGAAAGTGTAAGCCAAATAATCCCTTCCCTATCCAAGTGCTTTTTTTGTCATGGAGTTCACTGCAGTAAAAGAAACTCTGAGACAAATAACTTACAATTATATACCATTAACAGAGTTTGTTGTGCCTAATGGGTTTTGCCATCCTCCAAGGAAGTGACTCCTGATTGCAAAAGCAAACGGTTTTTATTGCCAAGAACCAGACAGGCTGGGACCTCCTCACTCTATAGGAAGAGTAAGGTGCATGCATGCTCACAAATGCGAAGCATTTTTAAAAGGGAAAATGGAAAGGGAGGCTTGAGACCACTAGCCTCAGTTCAAAAGGTTTCCAAGGTTACAGACATTCAATAGAGTACAAACTTTTTTTTTAATTTATTTTTCTTATTTTACACATCGATCCCAGTTCCCTCTCTCTCCCTCACTTTCTTCCTTTCGTCCTCTCTCCCTCTCTCCCACCCTCCCATGCCTCCCAACCACCCTCCCCTCCCATCCCCCCTACTCCAAATGTAGGGTGATGCCTTCCACAAGGGGTCATCTAAATCTGTCAAGTCATTTGGAGTAGGGACTAAACCCTCCCCCCCCGAGGTCTAGGTTAAGGGAGTATCCCTCCATGGGGAATGTTCTCCCAAAGTCCTTTGGTGCACCAGGAATAATACATCCTGGTTCCACTGTCAGAGGTCCTTCTGAGACCCACGTTTAGGGGGTCTGAGTTAGTCCAATGCTGGTTTCCCAGCTATCAGTCTGGGGGCCCATTGACTCCCCCCTTGTTCAGGTCAGCTGTCTCTGTGGGTTTCTGTAGCCTGGTCTTGTCCTCCCTCTCTGCATCTGGATTCCAATTCAGCTCAGTGTTTAGCTGTGGGTGTCTGCTTCTGTGTCCATCAGCTACTAGATGAGGCCTCTATGGTGGTGGATAAGTTAGTCATCAATCTCCTTATCAGGGAAGGGCATTTATGGTAGCCTTTCCACTGATGATCAGATTGTTAGTTGGGGTCAGTCTTGTAGGTCTCAGGACATTTCTCTACAGTCAGTTTTCTCTTCAAACCTATTTCTTTATAATGTGGACAGGCTCAGTGGCCTTGTTCTCAAGATAATTAGCTAGGGAGGATGCTGGTGTTGGGCTCTGGGTTTCTTCTTTATATCCTTAGAACAGCATGTGGGCTCTGTCCTCTGTAGTGATGAAGTTGTCTACTTGTAGAAATTCTTGTTCTCTCTAGTGTACTCTTCTTGCCTTAAGCCCTACTTTATATCTTTTACTTATTAATTTTTCCATCTCAATTGATAGTCGTGAATTGATTAGTGAGGTTATAAAACAGGCTGTAAAGCAGAAGTTAAGAAAAGGAACTTAACTCTCTGATTGTTTTGTTTTAACAGAATAGAAATCCATAAAATGTGTTACTCCTTCTTGGTGGGGTCTCACACATTAACCAAGACTGACCTCAAACTAGTGACAATCCAGCTTCCTCAACCTGTCCATAATTATTGGCATGTACCATCTAATTCCAGTGTTAGTTTACTCAATGTGAAGATTAAACAGTAACACTTTTCTTTGTGCATTTATTTCTGTGTTTTGTTTAAGGACAAATTCATCATTTGCAGCTCAGCCTGGCAAAGAATTTTTCATCCTTCTGCCACTCAATACATGAGCTACAGGCATTTACTACCACCAGAGCATTTAAACAGACATCCCTTAGAGAAACCAGGGAATATATGTTAGCAGCATATATTCATTCCTTGGTTGTTTATAGGGACAGTACAGCTTTCTACATTAAATTTTTGTAGGTGTTGTTGAAGAATGTCATAGATTATTGAAAGTTTGGATTGTAATAAAGTTAATTAAATGTTTAACTTTACTTACAAATTATTTCCTTTGGGTCTGTAAGTTGATAAGGCTTCATTTTTATTTAAAAAAATTGGTAGGAATGATGTTAATCTAGTCATAGTGGGTCCAGTTCTTTCTTGTGATTGCAATATGAATATTGAAAAGCAGTGACAAGTTAAAAACTGATAAAGTTCAAGAACATACTTTAATTTTATGTTTTTATAAATGTTTACTTAAAGTGGAAACAATCTTATTTTACTTATTAATACCAGTTTCCTCTTTTTCCCATCCTCCCATGACCCCAACCAATGTCCCCATCCCACACCCTATCCCCTCCCCAGGAGAGTGAGGCTTCCCATGGGGTATCATCAAAGCCTGTCACATCATTTAGGGCAGGGCATAGGCCCTCCCCTGTGTATCTAGGCTGAGAAAGTATCTCTCCATTGGGGAATGGGCTCCCAAAGCTAGGAACCTACTTTAGACTTAATGAAGAAATGAAAAATAAAATAAAGCTTCACTATTTGCCTTTGTCTCTTCGTCTTTTTTTAGCAATAATTGTTGGTCCTGATGGACAACCTTTAACAGTCTATCCTTGCGTGTTTTGTGGAAAGAAATTTAAGTCTAAAAGTTTCTTGAAAAGACACTTGAAAAACCATCCTGAACACTTGGCCAATAAAAAAATACCACTGCACTGACTGTGATTACAGTACCAACAAGAGGATAAGTTTACATGATCACCTGAAGAGGCACAAGATGACCAGTAAGGCTGGAAAGGACACAGAGTGTGATGAGTGTGGGAACCATTTCTCCCATGCTGGGGCTTTACGTATTCACAAAACAACTCATGGAGAGAAAGAAGCCAGCAAAACATACAAGTGTAAGTTCTGTGACTATGAAACAGATGAACAGGCGTTATTGAATCGCCACCTTTTGGCAGTCCACAGCAAGAAGTTTCCTCACATTTGTGTAGAGTGTGGTAAGGGTTTCCGTCACCCGTCAGAGCTCAAAAAGCACATACGCGTTCACACTGGAGAGAAGCCCTATGAATGCCAGTATTGCGAGTACAAGTCTGCAGACTCCTCTAACTTGAAAACACATGTAAAAACTAAGCATAGTAAGGAGATACCATTGAAATGTGACATCTGTGTGCTGACTTTCTCAGACACTAAAGAGGCACAGCAACATGCTCTTACCCACCAAGAAAGCAAAACACACCAGTGTTTGCACTGTAGCCATAAGAGTTCAAACTCAAGTGATTTGAAGCGACACATAATTTCAGTTCACACAAAGGACTATCCTCATAAGTGTGAGATGTGCAACAAAGGGTTCCATAGGCCTTCAGAACTCAAGAAACATGCAGCTACCCATAAAAGTAAAAAAATGCACCAGTGTAGACGCTGTGACTTTAAGAGTCCAGATCCGTTTGTGCTCAGTCGCCATATTCTCTCAGTTCACACAATGAGTGTCCCATTCAAGTGTAAGAGATGTAAAAGGGGATTTCGACAACAGTGTGAGCTTCAAAATCATATGAAGACACACAGTGGCAGGAAAATGTATCAGTGTGAGTACTGTGAATATAGCACTACAGATGCCTCAGGCTTCAAGCGACACGTTATCTCCATTCATACCAAAGACTATCCTCACTGTTGTGAGCACTGCAAGAAAGGATTCCGGAGACCCTCGGAAAAGAATCAGCATACAATGAGACATCATAAAGAAGTTGACCTGCCCTAAGAATATATCCTAATCTGTACAGGTGTTGAGTTTGAAACAGGAAATTTATTTTAAAATCATTCATCCTTGCTCACACCCAATATTGTGAATTTGTTAAGTCAGTATAAATACAATATTGTTTCTATTTGACTCTACATTTTATTTGGTAGGATTTCCCTATATCCTGCAAACTTTATTTACTAAGTGAGAGAAACAAATCTCCTTTAACAATATAATCCTTGATTCTATGCTGAATTTTTTGTCTGAGAAGCCATACTACCAAACTTTACTCATCTTGATATATTTTCTAGGAAAAACCTTAGTGTTGTTAACATGGAAAGTAACTTTGATACAAACTACACATTGAGATATTGCCAGCATAAACGAGAGATTCTTCTGAATCTCTGAATTCTGTCTGAATACCAGCTATGGAAAATATTTCTTTGTCTTAATCTTTTCAGATTTTTGACAATGCAACTTCTATTTGAGTGTCTACCACCACTGATTTTTAGGAGAGTGACTTCATTTGGGCTTAGTTGTCATTTTTGCTTAGTGGTCATTTTGACTTTGCCTATAGTACTTAGCATTTTTTTCCTTTCCTCTATAGCAGAATTTTAGACAAACTTAATGAAAAGTTTTGCTTATTCTTGATTTTTAATACTTTGTAGTTTGTCTTGCAGTTTTATTCATAAATAAAAACTGAACATTGCTGACCTATAAAAGTAAATTGGGGCTTATAGAGCATTTTACAAACTGGCATTGAAATTCAGTTTAAATATTAAGTGATCTGCCTGTTCCGGCCAACAACAAATCTGTAATAGCAATGATTCAATTTGTAGTAACTTAAAAATGATGAGATATATAGGGTTATTTGTATACTTGGTATTCAGAAGAGCTAAAATTAAGGTGGATAACTAGAAGAAAACTAAGGACCTTACTAGAAGTAATGTTATTATCTCTGACTTTGATACTTGAAAAGCTGAAGCTGAGGTGTTTATAAAGATAAAATATTTTGATAAATTTTTAGCATTTTACTAAAAATTTTATGGGATGAAGATATAGGCCCAGCTCTTTATTTTCCTCCGAATCCTGACTTGAATGAAAATAAAAACTCAGATGTTGTTGTGATATCATTTTAGAAACTAAATCCTATGACAACAGAGAGCTAGCAGCAAATTCAGCCAGCCTTTGCCTGTGTGTGTGTGTGTTTTCATAGTACACTTGTTTTTGAAAAGATAGCATATGTGTTAGTTGGTTTTCTTACTTTTTATTTGAGAGTTAACATTTTAAACAGTTATACGTTTATTGGTTTTGAATCTTAGGAATTTTGGGGAAAAAAATGACATTTATTTTGTTTCCTCAATGAACTATTGTGTGTATCTGATACGTTGTGAGATACTAGAAGAAAAAGAATTTCTTACTTGATAATAGCACCTTTGTCACTTATGGCATTCCCTTCTAATTCTGCTGCCGGTTTAACCTCTTTTTTCTTTTTTTTTTTCTTTCTTTTTTTTTTCTTTCTTTCTTTTTTTTTTTTGTGCCACTGATAATTATATTCAAAAGTTACATTCATAGGATTAGAACCCCAAGTAACTGGTGCTTGGCATCCTCTGAAAGATGCTAGATTTAAGTTCAGTACTAAATACATAATTCCTTCAGTACAAGGGCATTAAGATGTTGCAAACTAAAGTTAAGAGCAACTGAGTGCATCCCCTACAGATTTTTAGTTGCTATTCAGTGTTCTTTTCTGAAACAATCTATTCTTTATGTTTAAGAATCTTTTAATCTTGAATTTCCCTTTCTCCTGAAGCAATATAATAAGGTATATATTTAATGAAAATTTTAACTATAAGAATTCAAATAAACTTAATACTTTATAAACTTTGTGTTTCTAACAGTCTAGAGATATATTGTATTGTTTTATTTTTTAGTACAACTTTTAGTACCAACTTTTGAAAGGTGACACTAGTTTGGTAAATGTTATAAACTTACATAAAAATAAATTGTTCTTAGTGTTATTTACTGTAACCATATGGTCTTACTTTTTTTTTATTTATTTTTTAATGATTAGGGAAGCTAGGAAACTTGCTCCAGCCAAAGCTTTATAAAAGGTACGAAGTCTTAAAGGAAGTGAGTCATTTAATTGGAATGGCCTGTTGAATATTTTCTTTGTACACATTATGAAATTCCACAATATGCTTAAGAGAAGTGACATTGTAACTGTGTACTTGATACTGACATACATAAATAAAATGAGACTACTTCCCTGTTAATAAATGTTTTTTGTATCTGACACCAAACAGTGAGTAGACTGTTATTGGGGGAGGGGAATTCATCCTGTTTTGAAAAATGTAGTTTTGTGTGTGTGCGTCAATCAGAGCATATGTGCAGATGTCAGAGGACATATTCTAAGAGCAAAATACAAGGGCCCCAGGGATCAAATCCAGGTCATTGAGGCTTGGCAAAAGTGCCTTCTTATCTACTCATCCAACTCACAGTCCCAGTATCCCAGGGGACTAACAATTTCTCACATGTTTACACAGGTGAAAATATTGATAATCCTATGAACTTAGAGGTAGTACTTGAAATTAGATGAGAGCTAATTGGTGAGTCATTTGGTAAACATGTTCTTGTAATGCTCTTTTTGTTTGTTTGTTTTATGTTACTCTGAAATAGTATGCAGACTTGGATGGCCTGGAATTTACTATGTACACCAGGCTGGCCTCCAACACCCAAGTACTGGGATTAAAGGAATGTGCCAGCCTGCCTACCCAAACAGTAATTATTGACATGACACAGACCCAGAAAGACAAATGCTGCCCCATTTGTCTCATATGTGGGTCTTAGCATTGAATCTTTAGATTTTTGCATTTAAACGGGAGTTCCTGTGAAGTGAGGAAACCAAAGGGACCTTACTTAGGTCAGGAATGGGGAAAATTTAAAGGAGGGCAATAGAACACAAGTGGTATGAAGAGAAAAGGGAAATAATAGGACAGGAAGAGTTAATTGGTGTGGATAAGTAGGCAGGATACAGGAGAGCCTAGGAAAGGCATAACTCACACTAAGGACTGAATTTTTCACCACCTCACTGAATAACATGGTATATAAAGCCTTTGTACTTATTTTTGGTTTGCATTATTGACCTTTACAGTTTGCGTGTGTGTGTGTGTGTGTGTGTGTGTGTGTGTGTGTGAGTGTGTGTGTGTGTGTTTGTGTGTGTGTGTGTGTGTATGTGTGTGTGTGTGTTTTCCTTTTTTTCCCCCTTTCATTCACATTTGAAACAAGCTTGTTTTACATGTCAATCCCAGTTCCCTCTCTCCCTTCCCCCCCTTCCCTGGTCCCCTCCCAACACCCATCCCAATCACTTCTGCTCCCAGGGAAGGCAAGGCAATTTGCAGAAGGTCCTTCATTTGCAGCAGGACCCAGGCCCTCCCCCATGTGTCTAGGGTGACGGAGTATCCCTCTATGTGGAATGGGTTCCCAAAATCCATTTGTCACCAGGGATAAATACTGATCCACTGCCTGACCTCCTTTTGAAGTACACCATTATTATTCCATTTGAAAGTACTTTCGCACGTATTGTTCTTTTAAGTCTTTCACAGGACATTTTGCAGAAAACAAAACAAAACAAAACAAAAGTGTGTGTGGATTTTATTTCTAATAAACAGGTGGAAATATTATGGTTTCACATTGTAAAATAAAATTGTTCTCCAGGAAATTAAAATGTAAGACTGTAGTAATAAAACATGTTGCCTAACTATTTAGAGACTTATTTTTATAGCCAGAATTTTTTCATATTTCCTCTGATGTTTTTGAGATTAGTAGTATAATTGCATTATTCTCCTTCCTTTAAATTCCTCCTGTATACCACTCTCACTCCCTTAAATATATGATCTCTTTTGTTACATGCATATATGTACTTACATATGTATTACTAATTACAACCCATTCTGTCTGTATAATTTTACGTGTATGTATGTTTTCAGGGATGATCATTTGGTACTGGATGACTAGTTGGTGTGTTCTTCCCCGGGGGAGATTTTCTCACTTGAGCACTACTTCTAGTTTCCTACAGTTTTTGTTTTTTTTGTTTGTTTTGTTTTTTGTGCAGTTGGTTAAGGCCTGTGGTCTTGGTCCCATCCCCTTTATCATGTCTGTGTTGTTTTCAGCTCATGTTAGGCAACTATGTTAGAGAGAGCTTAAACATTACTTGGAGACAGTCTCACAGAAATCTCTCTGATCCTCTGGTTTTACATCTTTCTGCCCCATTTTTTGGAAACTGCTTGTGCCTTGGGTGCCAGAGTTGTTTTATAGATGTATCCAATATTAACAGTATAGTTAAGAGAATATGCTACTTTAATAAAGTGGTGCTTGTAGGTGTTCTAAAATATCCTCTAGTCCCATGGGTACTTGGTAGGTTTCTAGGGTCAGGCATAATTAATTACACTTTTGTTCAGTGGATGCTAAGTGAAAGAGAGAGCCTTCTAATGTCCCATACCAGAGTATCTGTGTCAGTACTGTAGCACGTATGACACCATGGTAGTCATTGATGTGGTTTGTAGGCATCATAGTTTTGTAGGGCTTTGGTTACCTCCCTTGGAACATTTCATGGCACCTTCTGGCATTTAGGTCACGTCTAACTCAGGACTCTCTATGTCTTGTGTCTGAAGTGCATGGTGCCTTCAGCAAAAGGGGACTTTAGCTTCTGCCTCTGGCAGTAACCAAGGGCAACAGCAACAGGCTGTGTGTTTTGGGAGTCTCGGACAGCTATTGTCAACAACACTAAAGAGGCTTCCCATGTCTGATACTGGGTTTTTGCTAGGTGGTCTTTACCTCTGGGAGGGAGCAATGGCATTATTGAGCTTTACAGGGATGTGTTATTTTTGTTTTGTCTACTTTTACTTTCATTTTTCTTGCCTTTGTGGCTCCAGTTCTTCAAAAGTTAATTTTACTTCTCTTGAGAGATTGGTACTATTTACCCTTATCTTACGCTTCCCTTCTTTGTGACAGTGAGCAGAATCTGAGGTGTCTAGTTATTCTTTTTCTACATCTCCATG